ACCTTTTATATCATCTTTTTTCATTGTGTGCCATATAATCTTTATCACGGATTTAGGTCATCAACGCGAGTGAAGCCGCAGGTAAAACTTTGTAAAATATAAAAGGGAAAAATAATTATAATTCCTTCCCAAGTTTTTAGTCCTTTCACTTCAAAATAATGTTTCATTTTTAGGAAAATTACGAAAATCGGCGGTTATTATGAATTAAAAAACAAATACATTTTAGTTGGCATTCAAATTTTTTGATAATGTGTAACTGCTTTTCTTGGTAAAATGATTGCTTTCTGAATTAAGAAAAGATTTTTTTTTAAACTGATGTTTAAATTATGAATATAATTTACACTTAACAATTAACACATGCAAAAACATCTACATAAATGTTCTAGCATCATTTGCTTTGTATACCTATTCCGACGACAACTGGGTTTTAATAATTTTACCTAACTAAATACTTTCTTTTTTTTGTGCATATAGGCGAATATAAATAAAACATATCAATATCATGTTGAATGCGTCTATAAGATAGCATTCCATGGATCTTTATCAATTATTATATAATTACAATTTACGTTGAAAAACCAACTACAATAGTCTAGAAATTAGAGGGGGTAGACGCTATGATAACATGATAACGATTAATTTTCTGAAAAAATATGCATGTACCTAATACACATAAATATAAATGAGAAGATGGGAGGGTTGACCATAACATACGGACAGACAGATGGACGAATCAGGTAAGTAAAAAAATATGTTTTGTGACTATATATCACCTGTATCATCTATATGCGTAAATAGCATTAATAATCAAAGCTATTTTTGCTGTAAGTTTGAGATGACAAAGCGGAATAATCTCCTGCATCTAACAATTTCTGCATGTTTTACACATTACTATCATATTTGTAAATAGAAATGCAGTCTCTAATAAAAGCTCCAATTTTTGACAAATAAATACGTACTTGTTAAGAAAACCAAGTCGGAAATAAGGCCGAACGGTTCGTTATCATTATTTGGTGAACTTTACATTCCTAAGTCTTGGTTCTTACAGCAGACACACAATTTTGAACTGCCTAAAAGGCAATAATAATTTTTTAAAGTAATTTACAAATTTGTAACGTGTAATAACTAATTTTTGTACCTGAAAGATGGACAGACAGACACACGAGTGCTTCTATAAGGGTTCCGTTCTTTATTCGGACGGAATCCTAACCCGAGAACCAACTTAAATCTGTAGTTTAAAAAAAAAACATGCTCTTCCATACATTCAAACTGCAAATATAAATTTGTACGTACAATATTGTGTTGCTGAAAGATTTACCACGTTATGTTCAGACAACAAACTTGTTACTAATCTTCCTGTAATCTATAAGTAAAGAACTATTTTCTGTTTTTTTTTTTTTTAAATCTTGAGTTCAGTAGTTTCGGGGATAACAGGAGAATGTTCAATTTTCATTTATTTTTTTAAATAACTATTCNACAAGCCCTTTCATTTGACATCTCACACAGTACAGTTTGCAAAACCTTTTTTTTCCTATTGGCCCCCCAGAAAATGAACCCCATGTTTACAATTCATTTATTTACGTTAATTTATCCTTAATTTCAACTTAATCAACCCAATAGATTCAGAGCAAATTGACTGTGACATATGGACAGACATGCACACGAGTGATCCTTAAAAGGGTTTCGTTTTTCATGGAACCTTAAAAACTATTATTAAGTTTACCCATAGATTAACAAGGAAAAGGTAGGTAGGTACAATTCTACATACATATTTGTATTTTTCTGTATCATAGAATCTTCTTTTTATAAATATACCTAGATACCATGATTAAGAATTAACAATAACTCATAGACTTACGATTAATCTAAACTACCACAGAAACCAAAACTACTATAAAACTGGACTGTGTTATACATCCAATAATGCTTTTAGTAATTTGTAGATAAGGATAATACAATAAGATCTTTAAGTAATAAATTAAAATAACTCACCAATTTCTGCAGGCTCATATTTTGACAAAAGCGATCTGCAAGAAAGAATAAACATAAATTTTTATTCAGATAAACACAGACACACGAATTTTTAATAAATATTATAAGTCCCAGTCTTTAACATACAATAACATTCTTTTATTAACTACATTTAAATATTTCCACATATTTAATAGTAGATTATAATAGTAAAACGATCAAAAATATGACCGTTCTTTATATTACATTGCTATTCGAATCCTTATATCCTTTTGGAATCAGGGCACCATCTCGCGTCGCCTAGCAAAAGTGCGTCATAAAAAGCACGAGGGTTAAAAAGCTCTCAGGGTAGAACACTTATTCAAACAATGGAGCTAAAATAAAAAAATGCTAGAAGGAAACTACCCCTGCTCGCTTAGAAAACGGCGGTAACCTTATTCAAATCATAGATGAAGACATCCACTAACCACTATGTACCTACGAATTAATAGCTGAAGGTATAATAATGTAAACAATTTGGTAAGCATGAATCATTTAAAAATATTGTAAGACAAAAAGATACCATTTATCTTAACAATTTATTTAAAAACAATAGAAATTATAAAATACATAATAGTAGAGTAATTGCGTTCAAAAAACTTCATAAAATTTGTAGGAGAGAGAATTAAATGCTAGTTACGAATACCGTCTTTTAGCTTTATTAGTTTCAATCGAAATTACAGATAGAAAGCTCTTTCTTGTCCCAACAATCAATAATCTAATCATAATCATCATCATAAGGTCGTCAGTCTTAAGACTGGTTGGACACGCACCTTCCTATCCAGAGATAATCTTCGCATTTCCCTAAAACTGGAACATCCTACATCCTTAACTATTTGCGAACAGTAATCTAATCTAGGTCTACCTCTATTCCTCTTAACTTCTGTTTCTGCGTCTAATATGTCTCTATTTAGACCTTCATGCCTGAGAATGTAATCTACCAACCTATCCCGCCTATTTTTTATTCCTATTCCATAGAGTCCTCTGTTCTCCTATTTTTTCTAATACCTCTTCATTTCTAACCTTTTCAACCCACGTTATCCTCATCATCCGCCTATAACACCACATTTCGAAGGCCTCTAACCTTTTCTTTTCCGCCGCGCCCACTGTCCATGTTTCGCATCCGTAAAACGCCGTGCGCCAAACATACACCCTCAACAACCTTCGAATTTCTAATTTAACCGTTCGCGAGTATAGAAGTGATTTCTTTATATTAAAGGCGACACGACCCTGCGCTATCCTCTGCTTTATATCCCCTACTACTCCTCCCATCCTGACTTATCTGACTTCCTAGACATCTAAAATCAGCCACTTCTTCTAATCTTTCGTCTCATATCTTTATATTCGCTCTTTCCCTACTTTTTCTTTCTTTGCATACCAGTATTTTTGTTTCACTTTTATAATTAATAAGTCAAAACCGCTCCATTCTATTTAAGGCTATCTCTAACTCCGCCTCGCTAGATGCTAACACTGCTATATCATCTGCAAATCTAGGCATACTAATCTGTTGCCCCTGTATATCTTTCCCTACAGTTGTACTTTCTTTAATAATGTTGATCGCGTCTTCGATGTATAGATTAAAAAAGTTAATCTAGTATTCGACCAAATTGCAAACCTGACATTCGACGAGAAATCTAGTTTAACGCCTAACCATCAGATTAACAATTAAATACCCTTGAAAAACACGCTGGCATCCCCGATTAAATTCGCAATCAGCCGCCTCACCAAATGTCAGTTCTGGTAAAGAATCAAGGGGCTATAATGAACAATCTTTTGGTCATTGAATTTAATAGTTTTTAAGACTAAAAATAAATACAAAAATAAAAACACTTTTTGGCTCTTATACTCTATTTGTGATCGCATTTTTAGCTATCTTGACTACATTTAAATCTAGACCACGACATACAGCAAACTTCGACTGGTGTATTTTGCCTTTACGTAAGTAAGTTTTAAGTTATAAGGTAACCAACGAAACTCGAACGATGTCTACACTAATGTAAGTTTTTTCTAATAAATCGTTTCATTATAGAGAGTTTACACTATTAGGTATTGTATATGATGTTAACAGAAAATACTTCTCCTTGGGCGTCTACCCCTGTGAATTTACGTGTCCGCCACTACTGAAAAGAATATCGTAATACTGTAGTTCCATTATCGAAGTGTGTCAATAAGGAAGAAAATGGAATAGAAAAGAAGAATACGAATCACGGAGTAATTGATAAATATTTAATGAGGAGGACTTGGCTTTTTACGAGAGGCATTAGCGTTCAATTATTCATGGAGCACATGTTGTTTTCTTTCTTAAACCGTTATATCGTATTTCGTTCGTTTTTCAAATAAGAAATCCATCACCGGAGAGAGAGGCACATGCCAAGTGGAGGATAATGGTAAGCGCGGTGAATATTTCATATCACAATCCTCCACCCCCGGGGGAGCTCATTAAATAGAGGGCGAGCAACGACGCCGGTGTCACGGACTGCTGCGATTCTCACATCGCACAGCCCTCCTGATTGGCTCGTATCGGAAAAATGATGGCGCTTTGTAACGCTCACAAATGTGTATGTATATAAGTAAGTATNATATTGTCGATGAGTCACGAAGCGCTAATACAAATACAAAATTTAAATAAATTTGAATTGTCAACATGCTGGCAACACATATACATATATATGTATGCATGTAATGCCTTCCACTACCACCTTTTATACGGTTATATTACTATCTGCAACCACGTACAATAATGATTCCCGTCCAAAAACAAAACACTGTGCTGCGCTTGCTACGTACTCGTCTAATTTTAATGAATAAACAGACAGATGACATGCAGCCAATTAGTTTGAGTACCTTTAGAAATACATCTTTACAAGGTCGTCGTGTTCTAATGACTCAAAAATAAAATTTTACATTTACATATATGGTTAATAAGGATGCTACCTACATGTTTGGATACGTTTAAATGTTTTTACCATTCCCAAGGTATTAAGGAATGATTTTAATGGACGTAACCATCGTTAATACACATTTCTAAAGAGAAAGATTAAGGAGTCCAAATCCGAGTCCGATTTCAGCACCGAGAGTATCGAATCCTGATGAAGAGCCGTTTTTCCATCTATTTACTTTTTGGGGTTGTTCATAAATTACGTTCGCAAATAAGGGGGAGGAAGGGGTATTGCCTAGTGTGACGATACATGACAAATGTGGAAGAGAGGTCTAAGAAAATGCGACGTATAAGAGTTCATCAATTTTATTTTAACGTTTTTCTTAAGTTGGCAGTTCTTAAAATTTTTCATTACCATGGAAAGTCCTCCTCATTGCTATTTTTAATCACAAAAAATGGTTTATTCGGGAGCGGTGAACCAGCCCTGGTGTTGTAATATTTGTTAAGGGCGCTGAAAGTGTGACTTAGCGTAAGGAATGGGGAGGGAGGAGTCCAAAAATGTGAAATACCGAGTGACGTATTTTATGGACGATACCTTTAAGGTAATCCAACCGAAACTACATCGTCAGTTGTCACTCTCTCTATAAGCAATACCTAAGTGTGAAGGAGAGAGAGAGAGATGTCCACTAACACATTCGGTTTTTGGCCGGTGTTGTTAGTCCTATCGAAATTTCCTCAGACCTACGGAATTTAGAGTCAGCTTAGAAAAAAGGGAAAGTTTATTGTTTAAAGGTTATTATGAAGAGGTATTAGAAAGAATAGGAGAACAGAGGACTCTATGGAAGTCAATAAGAAATAGGCGAGATAGGTTGGTAAAAAACCTTCTCAGACATGAAGGAGGCAGAAACATGAGTTAGGAAGGGTAGAGGTAGACCTAGATTAGATTACTTTTCGCAAATAGTTAAGGATGTGGGTTGTTCTAGTTTTAGGGAAATGCAAAGATTAGCTCTGTATAGGAAACAGTGGAGTTGCGTCTCCAACTAGTCTTAGGACTGAAGACTTTATGATGATACTGAAAGGTTATTTATACTTTGAATAATTACATTAAATAGTTGTGAACAACTAAAGGAAAAAAGGTCATCATTTTTTGAGTCAAATGTTTTTTTTTTGTTTTAACATAAGAATCTCCGGGTAATACAAGGAAATTCAAATCCTTACATACCTAATTATCATAAACCACTAACATGTAAAACTTTGCATTCTTTAACTTAAATTTCTACTTATTGTATAATATGGGACAGCGATGTGGCAATTTTGAAGACATTATTGGTATAATTTGCGTGTAATAAAGAAGTCGACATCCGCAACGGCAGAAATTTTTGAAGTCTGATACAACACGTATCGCCTTTCCGTTTCCATGATACGATCGCGTACCAAAGGTCACTAATATGTACCTAAGCACACGCACATATCTTAAGTGTCCAATAACGAAACACCTGCCGCATATATCATTACTTAACATCAGGATCACACGAAGCCAGAAAAGTTGAAGGCTTCTTCCACCACGTGGCTCCGCAAAGTTATTTTATATCTACCTGAAGATCTGATGCCCGCTGCCACGATATTAATACTCAGGTCAGAGCTTTCGGGTATTATATTCGTACAAAAGGGCAATGCTGTCGGTCGTGCGCCTTTTTATAATTGCTAAAATAACCGAAGTCGAATTTTTGCCGCCGTGTTCGGTTTCCGGTCTGAAATATATCTATCCATACATACACAACTGTCAACTCGGCAGGGTATGATATTTCACAATTTTTTATTTCAACAGGAAGTATTAGTGCATTGTCTTTTATATTAATATGTACCTATAACATTATATGTTACATAATACCCAATAGGTACCATATAGTATCATATATCAAATTCTGCGATATTCATCTATTTTGTTTACTTATATTACTTAATACCAATAATAGTAAGTAATATAACAGGTCAATTGAAAAGTCCCCGGCCTAAAATAGTAAAACACATTTTTTTTTGCAAAATTCGTTTTTTTTATTCAACATAATTCCCTTCAAGGGTGATACACTGATTATAGCGATCCTCCAACTTTTCGATACCATTTTTGTAGTACGATTT